GGCAAGATCTATTAAAAAGTCAAATTTTGCCGATATAGTTAGTAGACTGTCACTCTTCGTAGGAGTGATTGCCCCTTAAATGAGGGTTTTTTTTAATTTCTTTTGTGTTTTGAGCAAAAAAAAAAGAAGATAGAAAGAAACTAAACAGACTAAGAAATCAGTAATACAAGATAAACAAAATAGTGATTTTTGTCATGAAGTCTATTCTCGTCTACAATGTTGGAGAATGTCCTTTATTTGATATGCACATAGACCAAGATGAGCGACACAGGTTCTTTAGTGTCTCTAGTTTGTTTTTCTTTGTTGACATATTTGTTTATTTTTATAGTGATTAAGATTATAACACAATGTTGACTGCTGTACCCCTATTTAAGACATTTTTACCTATTATGTCTGTTTTGTAGTGGGAGGATTACCTAGCTAGAAAACCAGGTTTAATCCACCATTTTCTGCATAAGAAAATGCATGTACCAAGTCAGGAATATGACAGCTGTTATCCATTGGTTTGGTGTGTTTGAGCTTTTGATTTTGCCATTTGATTGGAGACTTTCCGTCGTGAATTTTCCTCGGAGTTCGATATTTTTGCTATTTTACCTTTTTCCATCTTCTGTTATATAAAACTGTACCCCTATTTTGGACATTTTTACCTATTATGTCTGTTTGTTTTGTTCACACAATTTTATGCGACTGTCATACAAGTGAGAGGTTTTCCTAGCTAGAAAACCAGGTTTAATCCACCATTTTCTGCATAAGGAATGCATGTACCAAGTCAGGAATATGACAGCTGTTATCCATTGGTTTGGTGTGTTTGAGCATTTGATTTTGCCATTTGATTGGGGACTTTCCGTCGTGAATTTTCCTCGGAGTTCGATATTTTTGTTATTTTACTTTTTTCCATCTTCTGTTATATAAAACTTAAGAACCATATTAACAAAAGTACCTTCGTTTTATACACTTAAAGACCATACCCTTTACCGTGTCCCTCGAGAGGTATATATTGACCATAGCTATCTACAAACTCATCCTATATCCATATAAACATCTAAACACATATTTACTGGCATTTTATGACAACGTTAACACTGAGTTTATCCATCACATATAAAACTAAAAGTCACAAACATGGACATATTTACAAATATAACTAGTACATGAACACATCTTACATTATACACAAATGCACAAAGAAAACACAAAAAATACAGATTAAAGAAGATGATATATACACAAGTAAAAGCTTCATTCACACCACAGTTCTATTATGCATGAAATGAATAAAAGTAAAAGTTGGTTATATGTCAATGAGACAATAACCAAAAAACACAAAAAAGACATCTACAGGTTTTAATAGTAGACAAAATGTATACAATATGTCGAGATCCAAATTGACAGGAGTGTAGAATAACTAGAATTTATGACAAACGTGATGATTTCAATTTTCCTATTGTCAACTTCCCATTTGTCAGCAGAATATGAAAAATAACCTCTGCTCCATCGTATGGGATTTACATATATCTCAGTTATTGAGTTAATACGTTATGCTCGTGCATGCTCACATTATGCGGACTTCGTTAATAGGGATGTGCATCTGACACAAAACCTGCTGCAACGGAGTTTTGAAGAAGAACGACTGAAATCAACCATACATAAATATTACGGTTACCATCTCGAATTTAGTTGACCGCTACGATGTGTCAGTGTCTCAACTTACTAGCGAAATGGATCTTTAGATCTTTTGGATAGTCGTCTGATTTGTAAATATACCGATTATGTCTTATTCCGGATTGTGACATTATGACTGAGTGTGGATTCACATGGCGGGTGATGCATGTATAGCAGGAGACGCACTTGGTTCTCCTCCCTTTAAAGTTCGTGCGATTTCCTCAGTTTTTGTTCGTTACCTTAATTTTGCTGTTCTTAATCAATTTACGAGATTTGAACATCGGTGAATTACTGTCGTCTAAATTTTACATTTGACTATTGAAACAAATAGGTATAAGTCGTTTCGATTTGTGAACATATATTACCCGTGTTCTCGATGTATTAGCATTTAATGTTCAATCGGAATAATTCCGTTTGAATTTGCTTTAAGACTTCAATTTCAAGAGTTAATCATTCCTGGTATTCTGTAATCAATCGATTGCGTCTTATTTTTTCGATTATTTTTTTATATAGTAGACAAAACATAGTTTTAATATTTCTGTTAGTCGTTTCAAAAATAACATTTGTGTTTCACAATTACATGTAGCATATCATTTTCTCAGAGACTATTTACATGAGATTTTCTGATTGATATTTTGACAATTACACACTTTTAAAGTCATATGAAACTTCAAATTTAAAAAAAGGTGATTATGTTCCTATTTACACCTTATGTAAGAATCCTGGGTTTTGATTGGTTGATAGCAAGTGTATTTTTCACCAATTTACTTTTATCAAATGAATATCGTTCATTTTTAAACAGCGCCGGGGTATATACAAAAAGGATATGCCTTGTTTACCCTCTCTGTCGTACGCGTGGTATTTGTCAAAAAATACTCTATCCGACTAGACGCTTGTAATGTCACGATCATCAATGCGTTTTGTACGTTAACATTCGGTGTAATTAAACAGATATAGCATGTTCTTAAAGGGTATTTGCGAAAAATACCAGTCTTGAGAATGAATTTCCCTCGCCTTACGGCTCGCGAAATTTAACATTCTCTTGACTGGTATTTTTCGCAAATACCCCTCCTTAACATGATATATCTGTTCATAATACTTGAATGGCTAAGTTTTACTATAAAACAAGTAAACGTGAACTTTCTTTTTAAAAAAATCCTTTATATTATCAAAATCTTCATAAATGTACCGATATTGAATTATTGACTTCCCAGGCACATATTCGCCGATATTTTCCCGTATGCAGTGACCTTAACTACGAGACCTCTCGTTACACCTTCGGCCACCACACAGCGCAAGTGCGAAAGGTAAAACCGTGATGAAAGAATGTAAACAAACGTGCTCTGGAAAGTAAATAGTAATGACTGATTCTTTAAAAACAAATTTAATACAACAAATCAGATACCAACTGTTAAGGAAAAGTTTGATTAACAAATGGGAACGCATGGAAAATATAAAAACAAATGTCATGGCTCTTTTAATTTACGTATTTGTCAGATTTTCCACGTGCTTTAATTTTATAGTTTATCAATGTCACGATCCGGCAATTTTTATGATTTTATTATCATTACTTTCATTTGATCATATTTTGGATTTTCTGTAATATAATATACTATATATATTTTGATATTTGGGTGCTGACAAAGGAACTGTTATTAAATAACTTGCAATATCGCTAACCCTTAATAATGTTTATCCATCTGCTAGTTTCCATAAGAAATTTGATATCCGAACATCGTTATTTAGAAAAATAAATTATATTCTACCTTTTTAAAAGAATTCTATTAGTTTTCAAAACACAAATTCTTTTTGAACAATCATGAGTATAATTGATCGCTAGATGAACCGTCTATCTCGCTTTTCCATTTCTGAATAAATTGATCACTCAGAAGTTTCCAAATAAAAGTTGTTGTATCTAAAACTGTCAAAGGGCTCTGACTCTTCCATACATACATACATAATTCTCGTTTCAAAAACTGAATCTGTACCTTTTCTATCATATCATTATTTGCAATTCCCCCAACTTGACATTAATAAAGTAATATTAAGTTAATTGCTTATTAAATGATATAGAAATATTTCTGTTCTTTTTATATAGATACATATGCATAACTTTAAAGATCTAAATATAAAGAAAAATAATCAAATAATAATATAGAAAAATAAAAATCTTAAAGAAAATTTAATAGTTGTCCTAATCTTTTCTTTTATTCATATTATCCGATTGTGCTAAACATACCCAGTATTGCTACATAGAGCTAAAGGTGATATTTAACGCGAATAAATCAATGAATCAGTAAGTTTTTTCATCACTTTCATTTTCGTTCTGATAACACTTGTCGTCTGAACACTAGATAATAATTTTTTAAGGGAACTCTGTTATTAACCAAACTTTGATATTCACTTAATTTTAAAATTTGAAAAATATACCATGGCGATTATTTAAGGTTCGTGTGGACAAATAAATGAAACTCAAATGCATTACTAGTATATGGTTTAGAAAATTAAAAACTTAACTGGATTTAGCAGTGCACATTTTTCGTCCCAGTTGAAGATGATAAAATTAACAAACAGTTGAGATTCACTTGATTATGTCCACTCAGTCATACAGTTTAAATCACCAATTATTGTCAGGTATCCATTGTCCCTCTATTGTCCCTTTCAATCAATACAGTTCACTTCAATTATTACCTACGGGGAAGTTCTGTAACCTCTTTCTCAGCTTTGGTTATATTGGCACCTTTTGTAGGAACGAAAAAAAAAGTGCATTGCAAAATCCAGTTAAGTCGTTAATTTTCTAACACATGAAATGCATTTGAATTTTATTTATCTAGGGCATGCTATGCGTTAAAACTTTTCCAGATACTCGGGTTTGTCTGTACACAGAGTAAATTTTGAGGTGAAAATGCAACCATTTTAGCCATAGGGTACACATGAACCTTGAATCTTGTATACTTGATGAGTTCTTACCGGTTTTATATCTTTGAATTTGTAAATTAGAAAATTGTGCTTGCCGTTGTTTCTATATCCTTTAATGGAGCCCCTGGTTTTTTGTCGGCGTTTTTTATTAAGTATGTCCGGTTAACGTTTAGTAAATAGAACTTCCATTTAAAAGTCTACTCCATTTCATTAAGTTCACGGTATAGCAAGTAAAAAGAAAGAACTTTCATAACATAAGATCGATTTGGGTATCTCAGATAATTATTTTGCGTTGAATAACAATGAAATCTCTGCGGAAAGTTTTGTGAAATATATTAAACTACTAGTAAAAAAATTTCAAGGTTAATATACACACATGTCATAAGATAATCTCTTTTTAAAGTTTTATACCTGTCGACATAAGCATACATTAAGTGTCTGTATTGTTTAATTTCATAACATGTCTAGTAAATGAAACTTTTCTTGTATATGCGTATCATGATTCTACAATAGGTGTTAAAGTAAGATAGAATCATGTGCAAAACAGTGTAGCCGAGACCATTGATTGGCGCGCTAAAATATCCAATTGACTGGGTCAGATTAGGTGAACGTTCGTCTGTAACGCCCACAACTCACGACGTATTTATTATAGACATTTAAACTGTGGGGTCACCAAAGGGTCTCAACGCCTAAATAAAATAATTCGAAAAACTAATCAGGAATAACCTTTGTGTTTTGATTTATATTGAATACTTAAACGTTCTTTACTTGTGTTTTTGTTATGTTTTGATAATGAATTTTTATGATATCGGACGTTCTTTCAGCAAAAAAGGATTTAACTGGCTTGAAAAGTTACAATGGATGTGTTGATTATTATCTTTTTTTCGGACGTCAAAGCGATTTAACAATTGCGGTTGTCCAATTATGTCATCTTTTAACTTTTATCTGGTCAAAATTTTATTTTAGAACGAATGCGTGATCAACTTTGAAAAGTGTGCAAACACAAAACATATAGACAAAATATACTTCTTTCCTGTCTTTTTCGTACTTGCAAGTTATTAGACAGTAAAAAGGCTATTTGGATCAAGCCTTGTGAAATTTGCATTTACGTTTTTGAATAGGTACAGTCAAGTTTAGCGATTGATAATTCATTGATAACATTCTGGCGTATCACAAACAAACAACTTGTAACGTCTCATTTCATTGGCCGAAAGATTTAAATACAACAACAATTGTAGTGTGCACGTGAATTGACACAGGTGACCGACAATGGAATGTACTACGTTACTACGAACGTAAAAAACAATGATTTTGGTCGAAATAATTAAATAAGTATTTTGTGAATTTCAAATAGTGGGGTCGAAATATTATACTAATAATTTGTGTTAAGTAATATTCTTTATGCATGCAGCACTTGTACCGCACTATGAAAAAATTAAGGATAAAATAAAATACATGTGCCGCTTTTATACGGATGAATGTATGAACCACTTTAATTTCTTTCATATTGACGCTAGGTTATTATCCTGACAATTTCGTAGTTACTTATAATAAGGATCTCATAATACTGATCCATTTCAAATTTATGATGGGTTGCACATTCCTCTTTTATTGTTTTCATGCTATAAAACGAAAATAAAGTAGCTAAGCGTTTGGTCATTCAGAAATGACGTGTCATAAACGAGCAAATTGTCCCCGAAAGATCGTATCATGTGTGCACGTGAATATAGATGTACTATGCAATGTACTATCATGGTCACCACGAAATTCAAATGAATTCAGTGAAGGCATGTTGGTGTAAAAAGGTTTGAAATGTTTCATCGGCGAAGATTTTATTTTTGCATGTGTGGAACTAAAAAATAAAAAAATACTTGTGAGAAATGTCGTAGTTTGTAAGGAACTATATAAATGTACTGTTTTCGATTTTAATTGGTTGAAAATTTATCCTTTAATTTCATACCGTAAGAATAGAGCTTTGCATAACATTGTTGAACTATCCGCCAAAGCAACGTGTGGCATACGTGCGTATTAAAATGAAATACAAAATCATACATGTATGATAAACTTATAAACGAAATATTAAGAAATTAAGGATGACTACTGTAAAAGTATGTACAAAAATGGAGTCACCTTTTATCAATACATTTAGTGAATAACCACACTGTTTAAAACTGATTGTTTTCTATGCAACTATTTAAATATTTACAATATATAATTTCCAACCGAGGATAGCAAAACAGTTAATTATAAATTAAGAAAGTATATCGCTGGAGTTTATAAAGTACATTTCCTTCCACTGTGCCATGGTTTGCCATCTCCATTTTTTCTCTAAACAAAGCATGGCTGGGTACATGTTCTGAATTTACTTAGAATTTCGGGATTTTTTTTTCAAAATCAAGTAAACTAAATCAGAAAAAATCACACTATCCTAAAACTTATGAAAGAATATGAATAATGAACATGACAGTTTATAACACAAACCCATTTACTATAAAAATCGAGCAATATCTTTAGTATGTAATTTGGTTATTTTTGTAGTTAAGTACGGTTTCATTTCAAGTACAACGTTAATTCATCAAGTCCATTGAATAAAAGATAAGGCAGGGTGAGCAACTTGACAAAAAAAAAAGGCAGGATGACGATTTATGTAAAAAAATCAGGATAAACTAATAAATATAGTCAGGACCTAACAGACTGAAAAATAGAAAGACAGGACAGAGATAACAACTAAACAAAATGCAGGACAAAATGTTTCATCCAAGTCCCCCACCCCCAATCAAAATAAATGGTAGCTCCCTTAATCCAGAACCAATTGAGAGGAGACAGTTGAATTAAATATTTCGACGTGACTGTTAAGATTAAAGTTTAAAATTTTACATGCACATGTATAAAAGCTAGAATTGCCATGGGATAATCAAGAACACAATCATGTACGTGAATACGACGATGGAAGTTTTTAACGACCTTGACCGGCTACGTGAATACTGATCAGTCCATTCAGCTTTATAGTACGCGTGTTCTATTTTCGCAGGTGTGAGGTCGAAGGTTTGAATTGACCAATGAAAACGATCGTTCCTTAACGAGTTAATCTAATAAAGTTTGTTTGACTGATTATGTTGCACAACCTTTCGCTAAGCTTGGCCGCAGTTCAGTATACAATGTATAGTTTGATGACCTTTTCTGCTAACTACTATACTTGTGAAAAACCCTTGGCAACAGAAACATATTCAGCTTTTTTTTAATCGACCCAATTTACATAGTAATGGACGACTTCGTACATTTTATGATCGCAAATAAAATATGTATATAATATACTGTGCACTGTAGTACGTATATATACTGAGACCCTTTGGCAACCCCACAGTTTAAATGTTTATAATAAATACGTCGTGAGTTGTGGGCGTTACAGACGAACGTTCACATAATCTGACCCAGTCAATGGGATATTTTAGCGCGCCAATCAATGGTCTCGGCTACACTGTTTTGCACATGATTCTATTTGTTTGATTATCTTTATTTCAAGACATATTCTTTCTAGTTTTTTGTATGTTTCAGAACGTGATCAGTTTTAAAATAAATCGAAAAGTGTGCCGTTCATTTGAACAATATCTTAATACTTCAAAAGTATAAATAAATAACATTTGATAAAGTCATTAACACTGAAGGAAGCCATTTGTTTGCCAGAATATTTGTTAAATTGAAAATGATTTATATTATATATATACGCCTAATATTGTGAACACAACAACACATTTTTTTAAATGTTTTTATAAAAAAAAGTATCAATAAATGTTTCGGTTAACCGATATCCCTCATCATTATGTAAAATAAATCTTATCAATATATGCTGTCTCATCTCAAGTAATGAAACGAACTTTTCATAAACGAGTATTCATAACTTGATGCTTATTGTAAGTGATGGGTGAATTCTTTATAAACAAAAGCCTGTTTTAATATGTATCATATTTTCTTAAATGAAACAAGAAGTATGTGTTTTAATTATTGACATTTCAGTATTCGCTAATGTCAAGTGGCTCATATTACATGCGTATTCAGGACGAAAGGATTTAAACAATTGTGTTTCTACGGAGAGATAATAAATTCTTTGTTTGGTCTGGCTGTCTTCAAATTCAAATTTATGATATATATTATAACAGAGACTACCAACACGGTGTACAAAGTACTTCGACAAAAAATGCAGTATATAATATCCAGTACGATGACGGACGACCTACAGACATAGCTATATATAGACATGGTAAGATGTTTGTTTATCTTTTTCTTATTTGTATGAAATTGTTAAGTATTACTATAAATATAACTATTTTCGATTTATATATATATTCTACATCCGTTCTAGATTAACAGAGAAAGAAGTAAAAACGCACAGCAAAATGATAGAGTAAACCTGTCAACGTATATTTGTTCCGCCTAACAGAAGTTCCCTGCACTGGAAACTTTGTTATAAACAATGTCATAATATCTGTTCCTGTTGGAACAAATATTCTATACCATTTATTCCGTTAGGAATATTTACTGTAATATTTATTCCAGTGGAACTAATATTCCAGAATATTGTTTCCATTTGGAACTTATATTACGAAGGAACTTCTATTCCGTGACGAACCTTTCATTGATTTTTCAAAATTTCTCATTAAATAGAGCTCATTGTATGAAAAAAGAACTTATGGAAAGAAGGATAAAACTGGGATGTATATACATTCAAAACCGTGTCCTTTTATTTTGACATGGCTAATGTGTTTGGCTCCATGAATATTGAAATACAAATATTTGAGGTGTAAAACGTAACTAATCTTGCAATCTCTATGTACATATCTTTCTTTTCGTACGTTTTATTTTTATAAAATGTGCACAATTTAATGATAAATTAATAAAAGTCAGCAAAAGGTTCACTCTATTTATCTTTTTGCCGTGTATTTTTACTTCTAGAACGAATGTAGAAAATATTACAGTTCATAATCAAATATAGTTATATTTGTATTTACAATATACAATTCAATACAAATAAGATATAGATAAACAGAAATCCTACCGTTTCTATGTCTGTAACTGGTCCGTCATCGTACTTGACTATCGAGTCGAAATATTTTTTGTCACTTAAGACACGGTGACCAATGATCTGTCATCAATATTGAATTTCATAACGGAACAAAAAACATAAAGAGAAGTCCTCAAACAGACAATTTTAATTTATTGAAAAATACATTTGTTTTTATATAAGAATATATAGATGTTTAAAAATATCAAGTCCTGCTGTTCTGACAAAGTCGAATAAAATTTGCTAGATTTATGATATAAATGTATCCAAGCTTAATTGTTCTTATACATTTTCAATTATCATTACAGTAAACATATTTGATTAATTAAATTTATGTTAAATAATGTACACAATTTGGCATTAACACATTAATACAACTGAATTATTGATAGGATCCGGAAACAAGATGTTAACTTATATTAATGTGTTTCCTAATTCAAATAAGATAAAATTGAGAATGGAAATAGGGAATGTGTCAAAGAGACAACAACCCGACCATAGAGCAGACAACAGCCGAAGGCCACCAATGGGTCTTAAATGCAGCGAGAAACTCCCGCACCCGGAGGCGTCCGTCAGCTGGCCCCTATACAAATATTTATACTAGTTCAGTGATAATGGACGTCATACTTAACTCCAAATTATACACAAGAAACTAAAATTAAAAATGATACAAGACTAACAAAGGCCAGAGGCTTCTGACTTGGGACAGGCGCAAAAATGCGGCGGGGTTAAACATGTTTTTTGAGATCTCAACCCTCTCCCTATACCGCTAGCCAATGTAGAAAAAAAACAAACGTACAACAGTACGCACAGTAAAACTTAGTTTAAGAGAAGTCCGAGTCCGATGTCAGAATAGGAAACAAAAGAAAATAAACAAAATGACAATAATACATAAATAACAACAGACTACTAGCAGTTACTGACATGTCAGCTCCAGACCTCAATTAAACTGATTGAAAGATTATGTCTTCATCATATGAATATCAGGCACAATCCCTCCTGTTATGGGTTTAGTATTATACCGTCATAAAATATATGAGAAGAACATAACCCGTGTCATGCCAACAACTGGTTTTAGAATAAATATGTTTAATTCCGATGCAAAGACCCTATAAGTGAATCAATATTAAAGCCAAAATATGCAATTTTTAATGACCTGACAACAGTATCGTAACTATATCCCTTCTTAATAAGCCTGTTTAAAGGTTTTATAAGCTTTTGAGGTGAATACGGACATTTTTGTGCTTTGTAAAAAATATTACCATAAAAGATTGGATGTGAAATACCCGAACATATAAGATGTCTGCATGTTGAGTTATATTTACGAATGATGTCCTTATACCGATGATAAAATTTAGTAAATGTTTTGACTAGTTTATGATATCGAATACCCTGGTTTAATAATTTTTCAGTAATATATTAATTTCTCTCGCTAAAATCTAATACGTAGTTACATACACGAGCGAATCGTACAAGTTGAGATATATAAATATACATACTGAAGTTGTCATTATTGAGAGCCAATATATCATCCAAATATCTAAAAGTATTGTTAATTTTTTGTATCAGATGTTGTTTCGATGGGTCTTTGCTGATTTTAGTCATAAATTGTAACTCATAACAATACAAAAACAGGTCCGCAATAAGTGGTGCACAGTTAGTCCCCATTGGAATTCCGATAAGTTGACGATATACGGAATCTCCAAAGCGAACAAAAATGTTATCAAGTAAAAATTCAAGGGCAGATATAGTATCAAAGCATGTCCAATTGACATAGCTCTTTTGTTTGTTGCTACTAAAAAATGACCTAAAAGAGTTTGAACATATGTATTTTCATTCCGACTTTTTAACTGCCCATTTAATTAGGTGTGTGATTTTTTTCTTAATAAGAATATGAGGCAAAGTAGTATATAGGGTAGAAAAATCAAAACTTTGAACAGATTCAAAATCACCAATATATGCATGCAATTTATCAAGTACTTCCAACGAGTTTTTGACACTCCAAAAGTAGTTAATTCCACTATTTTCAAAGGCCTTATTTGAACAATTTATTATTAGGTTTTTGATTGTACCAAGTGTACTAGAAAGTAGAATAGACAATTTAGTAGTGGAACAATGACTTGAAGACGAAATAAATCTATATTTGTAAAGTGATTTGTGTAGCTTCGGAAGCCAGTACATAGTTGGGACTTTCATTTTATTTGGTTCTGCTTGTAAAGAAGAAGCTAATAGTTTATGTTTGTTACAGATATCGTTCTCTGAAAATGAAGTCAGTTGGAATGTTGGTGAATTCGTGATTTCTTTTTGCAGAACCTCAATGTAAAATTTACGTCAAACTATAATGATATTATTAGCAGCTCTATCAGCCGGGACAAAACAAATTCCTTGGCTAGTTCTTTTAGTTTATGGTTGATACGAGAGATAGTATTTTTATGGTTGTTGTTAAGAGTAAAATGTTCTTTAAAATGTTGTATACGTATATCAACTATCTTCATTACTGAATTAAAAAAAGAGTCCACAGATTTTTTGTAAGCTTTTTCCCGTTTTATCCATTTCAAACAGTAAGCACGAAGGGAGTCGTGGATGATATTACGACACCCATTCCAATTAATAATTGACGGGGGACGATATTTAGGTCCTTTACTGAGGAATGATTTTAACTCTCGGTCGCGAACGATGTTAAGGTCTCCTGTTATAACATGGAAAATGGGACCATAAGTGTATTCGGAATTACTACAATTACATGACGGAGGTGTATTTTCACTGATATTTACATCTTTACAGACTTGGCTATGATTAAACACAAATTTTCGGGTAGATTTCTTGTAAATATAACAAATAAGAGGGAGTTCAGTATTATCAAAATATCCAGGAAATTGTTCTTTAACAGAATGGTCGTTAAAAATACCGGCAATATTTACAAAATCAAAACCTTTATTGACATATTTTATTTTAATAAAATGTGTTTTTTATGATCTTCAGGGCGATCAATTTTGGGAAACAGTTTAGAATAACAATATGCCATTATAATTTGAACGATTTCATACTTAGGACTGCAATATGAATTGTGTTGCAATCCTCTAAAATTTTATTTAATTTATTTATAGGTAAAGAACAGAGTTTGGCAAATAGATAATGTCTGCCGTTGTTTTTTGAAATAGAAATTGGGTCCGAAATATTTGTATGGTTGGTCCGAAATTTTCTTCGATTGCGATTTTTTCTACGCCCATGAGAACGGTTTTTACGAACAGTTTTAGAAACTTTATCCAAAATGTTAACAGAATCGGTTCTTGATATATTACCAATTCCCATGATATTATCATTAAGACCGAGAGGGTAGACTGTCTGTAATTTTTTAATCCAATTAAAATCAATTATTTCCCGCGATCGTACAAACTTTGAATGAGATTCACCAGGCTGCTTATTTACTACTTCTAAAGGTTGAACTGTTAAATATTTAATAGGATGATTGTGCTTTTTAAGATGTTGATAAATGATACTTTTGAACTTATTGGGTCTTTTAAAACGATACAGGTGTTCTTGCGTGCGTTTAGATAAATATCGTCCAGTTTCACCTACGTACTGAATACCGCATCCCTGTTTGCTTCATGTGAGTAAATAAATAATACTGTTTGTTTTTCAAGTTATATCAGTATCAAAATTTAAAGAAAATGTGCGACCATTAAACGTAGACCTTACCGTATTGTTGGTGGAAAGACGGGGACATGTAAGTCATTTTTTGGCATGACACTTATCGATAGAAGGGTAACCACGATTTTTATTGTTAAAAATGTTAGCGATGGTAGTAATTTTAGATAAGCGATTTTGAAGATTAAGACGTGTAGATACCCTTTGAACGAGTTTAGTATTTAATATTTTTCCATTTCTAAGCTTCATATTTGTTTTTTGTTATGTGGATTTTATTAGAAAGGAGCAAAGACTGGCGTCCAGAATATGAACCAGCACACAATAAATTGAATTATGTGAATATGATAAAACTGTTAGGCTAAAGACGTCAAACGCTATCCGTCATAAATTACTCGAAAAATAAAACAAAAGATAGGGTATATCAGGGTAGCGACTGACGTCTGACTACATAGAAGAATGGGGCTGAATGTGAAATACTACTTTTTGATAAATATTTCTAAAGTAATGAACATAGAGAAGTTCTCGCTCGGACACACACTCCATAATCTAGTATATTATAAGAGCATAAACCTGAAGCACGGGGAGGCACTATACTGTCTCCACACGGCACTAAAGACACACTCTGTAAAAAATAAAATTGAGAATGGAAATGGGGAATGTGTCAAAGAGACAACAACCCGACCATAGAGCAGACAACAGCCGAAGGCCACCAATGGGTCTTCAATGCAGCGAGAAACTCCCGCACCCGGAGGCGTCCTTCAGCTGGCCCCTAAACAAATATGTATACTAGTTCAGTGATAATGGACGTCATACTAAACTCCAAATTATACACAAGAAACTAAAATTAAAAATGATACAAGACTAACAAAGGCCAGAGGCTGAAGAACTTTTTATATGTGTAATAATCAAGGAGTAGAAATGCAGTATAACATTAAATTATCTTAAACTAGATGGAAAACAAACAAAACATATAACAATGTTGTGGACACAAGAAGAAGAAAAAAATATCAGATACATCAGCAATACAATTATAGTAAAAAGCATGTTTTTGAAAGGATACAATTATTTTAGATATAAATATGTACTATAGACCTGTTGAACAAGATGTTTATTGAATTATTATTGAAGTTGGTAAATTGAAACATGGACAACCTGATTAAGGCAGAACTACTTAAAGGACTTTTAGGAAATCCAGTGCATATTCCAGCATGGTACCCTTATGACGAAGAAGGATCTCGGTTAAATGATATTTGTATGGAACAGTGCAGATGGTACTACTTTCATCGTTTTGAAATGAAAATTCTGAATGACATTTTAACAGTACGTACTCATATGATTTTTTTTGTAAAGAAAAAACCACGTTGTTTGAATAGAAACAGATATATAATATATAGAAGTTATTATATAATATCATTGATTCCTAACTAAATATTCTTAGTTATTGTAAAAATAGTTGTTTTACAAGACAAATCTAGACAAGAAAGGATGATGTAGTATAATTCTAATGAGACTATCATCCCATGATACAGGCATTGTTAGAGACTTAAGAACACAGACGCGAACTAGATTGGGCATTGCACGGTCTTCAACAGTAAGCAAAACAAATACATAAGATATCAAAGGCCTAGGGGAAAGAACATTTGACTTTTTTATAAATTGTTTATATATTCCGTTATTGTAATTCTTATTCAATGTTATGACTTTCGGCCTCATTTAATTTTCTTGTTACCCTTAATTAATCATGATTTTACGAAATTGCAAGAAAACAATATACACCAATCCTTCAAGGATATTCACGTGCTCAAAAAACCTCATTCCCAATATAAATTCAACCGCCGTCAATCGAAATTCCCCTTCTAAATTTAGCATTTTTTACACTTGTGTCAAAGGTGGCAATGCTGCTGCAGCCAGATTATTAAATAAAAATGCACGTGGATATCCACAAATACTCCCGTGCAATGCTAGAAAATGACAAACCTGAGCTAGATTATTTTCTGATAATACTGTTAGGTCAACTGTGAACGGGAGAGCTTTTTCGCTTTCCTTTTCCTGTGACATTACATGAAAAACTCAAAGCCTCATTTATCTGGTTACTTGAACAAAATCAAAGTGCGGTATACAATATGTAGGACAAACAGGACGGGATTTTTTTAAACGAACACAGGAACATCTATACCGCTTCCGAAAACTTAAGAAATTCAAAAGCATAATTTACCAACATTTAGGTAAACACAACCACAATATTAAATTTATAAGGTTCCAACCACTCGAAACGATCCAGAAACAATAAAGGCAATCGCATAAACAATTTGAAGATTCCCGTGAAATTATCGAACTGTCTTGGATTAAACGACTTCAGACAGCTTATCCCCTGGGTCTAAATGACAATATACTTGGACAAGGGAACATATCTAAAACTTCTTCTATTGATATCATGAATATTGTTGATAAAAGACAACGTAATAATAGGTTTCATGGCAAACGTATCAATCGAAATCAACGAATTAATACATTGTATAAATTATACACTTGATAATCTCCTATCTATATTTAAAACAATGATAGGCATCAATTGTTATGTAAACTGGGTCAAATACCAATTAGTAAATTACATGATATTTTCAAGGAGTGTGACACAATCTCTTTCTTCAGCCCACTCTATGAATATTCGCGTATAATTACAGCTTTTTGCCACCATAGGCTGTTCCCGCGTATCGATAAACCTGAAGATCATAAACGGCACTTTCTAAAAATTAAATATATTAACAGAGGTATTGATTTTATCAACTTATCGAGTATATTTAATGACTCTACCATTCAAAACTTTATACCTCCCTATTTTGATAACACAGAACCACCTATTATTTCGTACACATACAAAAAAAAAACAGCAGAAGTTTAATTTTTAATTATACGTCAGTAACATCAGACGTCAATGTAGAAAATAATACTTTAACTTGAAACTGTGAATCGTCTAAGTTTAGATATGATCCCTATGGCTATGTTATTACGGGGGACCTGAATATCGTCCAAGGCAGAGAGGTTAAAAACTTTTTGAGAAAAGGTAAAAAATATCGTCCTCCATCTAAAATAGATTGGAAACAGTGTTGTCATGTCACAAAAGACGCTCTTTCCTCGTTTTGTAAAAATTGGTGTAAACGGGAAAAATCTGATAAAAAGTCTCTTGATCCTTATTTAAATAAATAGGTATAAGAAGATGTGGTATGAGTGCCAATGAGACAACTCTCCATCCAAGTCAAAATTTATAAAAGTAAACCATTATAGGTCAAAGTACGATCTTCAACACGGAGCCTTGGCTCACACCGAACAGCAAGCTATAAAGGGCCCCAAAAATTACTAGTGTAAAATCATTCAAACATGAAAACCAACGGGTCGATACCTCTGCTGATGGACTATCAGTCCCCGAGGATATCATCAGCTCAGTAGTCAGTACTTCGGTACTGACATGATTTATAACAAACTTTTCTAAAATTGCCCGTTTATAAATTTTGAAAAATATAAAGAAACTAAGGTTTCAACTCCCTCAGGCAAAGTTGACCTTAGATGGATTTGGCTATTTGTTTTAGGTATTTTTGTCATATAGCTCTTCAACTGTTTCGGTACTTATACATCCCTCGGATTTCAAATGTTTGGCTTTGAGCGTTCCTGATGAAGGTAAACCCAGAAAAGCGCTTCGGACGCATGAAATTATTAAACGTGTTGTTTTTAATTTTTTGTGGATATTCGAATATCATATTTTGAAAATAATTCAGAAATAAATAAAAGAGTACATAATACGCCTATTTCCGGAATAAGAAATAAACTTCAAGAACTTTCAAAGCGGTTTGTGTTTGTACCGGCCGACAAAGCAGCCAACAATGTGGTGGTGGTATGCCGTAAATACTACACGGACGTTCTTAAGAATGAAATGTTAAATTCATCTTCATTCAAGTCCGTGCGCTTCACAAAGAGTCATATAGTAAACAAACATATCATAACCACATCACAGCTTAAGGCCTCTTCTGAACATTTGAAGGTCCCTACTATGTATTGGGTACCTAAACTACACAAAAAAAACCCAGTAAAATATCGTTTCATTTCGGCCTCTAGTTAGTGTTCTTCAACTAATCTTTCAGTGCTTTTAACTAGTTCCTTAACTACGATCAATAATAAAATATATAAAAATAGTGGAATTAACTATTTTTGGAGTGTAAAACTATTCCTTGGATGTTTTAGATAAATTACGTGCTTTTGATGGTCCTTTTGATTCTGTTGACAGTTTTGACTTTTCAACTCTTTACACTACACTTCCACACAATCTTATCAAACAAAAGTTTTCCTATTTAATATTTCCTATATATTTGCTGCAACTCATTTAAAGCCTTCTTTTGAAATGAGAAAAGTAAATATGGTAGATATACTTACTGGTTTTCCTTTTTTGGATGGTGATGTTCCTTTGACACCATCTTACGTAACGTAATAACGTAATCTATGTATTACTGGTAAATTATTAAGTCGGAGATTTCGTTACCACAAATTACTTAAAACCTTTACGAAATTATTCCATAGATATAAAGATTTGGTTTTGAAGTTTGGTTGTACCTGTAGAAAACTTATTTCAAACGGGATAGCACATCTTCATTTTTACTGAGATGTTGTTTACCGTGCCCGGAAATTTAGAAACGATCCTAGTAAACTTATCGATCCTTTAAATAAACTTACTCTAAAAGGTTACCAATTCAACACTGTAATGAGATCTTTGAATATTGTTTTTATTGGTATTAATATTGATTTTGTTATCAGTAAATTAAAAGCAAACTAAATACCATTGTTATATATGCACTGTCATGGATCTACAATCTGTCGATACCTTTATCTTGGCATTGCACAAGGTCATGTTTTTCTCTGACTGTTTATGACGTCTTTACACTAGATCCATTGGATGTTGGATGTGTATTGATTGATAACTAGTCTTAGATGCATGACTTTGTTTATTAGTTGTTATTGGCTTTGACCTAGCTGTCAGTAACTGCGAGTACTCTCAGATCTGTACTTAGTGTCTTGTTGTTGGGATGTACAAGTACCCTGCCACGTGTTTTTGTTAGATATATTTCTATTTGTATCTATCTGATGAGTTAAGCCTTTTTCAACTGATTTTTATAGTTCGTTTTTATGTTGTACTGTTACACCACTGTCCCAGGTTAGGGGGAGGGTTGGGATCCCGCTAACATGTTTAACCCCGCCACATTCTGTATGTATGTGCCTGTCCCAAGTCAGGAGCCTATAATTCAGTGGTTGTTGTTTGTTGCTGTGTTTTTCGTTCATTTTTTTTTATATTAACATTAACTAGGCCGTTAGTTTTCTCGTTTGATTTGTTTTACAATTGTCATTTCGGGGCCTATTATAGATGACTATGCGGTATGGGCTTTGTTCATTGTTGAAGGCCGTACGGTGACCTATTGTTGTTAATTTCTGGGTCATTTGGTCTCTTGTGAAGAGTTTTCTCATTGGCAATCATACCACATCTTCTTTTTTTATATTTGAAACAATTTAGATACTAAAACAAAAGGCCTGCATTATACTTAAACAATAAACGAAGAACAAATATTGCAGACAGCAAACAATGTGTCAGGGTTAAACAGGTTTGTGGGCGCTAATCACTCCTAACCACATGAGACAGTGATGTTACAAAATAATATAAACAATTTGTAAAAAACAACCTCATTTAAACCAAATTAAAAAGAATATTGCCCTGCAAATATAATTTTGTAGATCGCTATCCTATTTCTACAAGTTCCGTCATCACATGTATGGCGTAGGGTTGAATAACATTTGCATAAATCGAATTCTGTTTTAAATGTTGAAAAATGTTTCATAAATTTAAAATTTCTTACATTCAAATTCCATTACGTTGAATTCATAAACGTTCCAACATTGAATCTTGTCATGTGAGTAAAAAGAATACAGAGGCCACATTTCTTTATAAAACCTATCTAGTTGGTAGATTAAATATTGTGTTAGGGATATGGAATAAGAGTTAGAGATAAGAAACACATAATAATTTCTTCGGCAAGAATTTTCATTATTTAGTTTAGTTGTATTTTGAAGGAATTAATAGAATATTTGAAAGATTCGAGAATGCTTGTTGACCTTGGTAGTGGAAATGCAACCAAGACAATGTTGATCTTAGATAGACTTTTAAAGACGCATGAATCTCTAACTTACGTCCCAGTAGATATTTCTACAGGTTGGTATACAAATTGCATATCTCATGTTAAGACAGCATATGAATCTTCTTTTATTTGCGTGATTCAAATTTGAGTTATATTGAAAAGAAATGCGATTTTTTTTATGCTGCAACATTTCTTGATCAGTATAAATACTACATTTTAGGCCAGATACTTAGATTCATAGTATTACAACTTCTTGTATCTGGTGATTTATTCTAAACCACAAAGTCACTTGTTTGATTTATAATTCTATAATAAAATTGGGATAAAAACGATTTTATCATATTTCTTTTAATGGAAGATATCTGCGATAGCTCCAGAAATAAATATTTAAAACGACTGCTCGGATTTTCTGTATTACTGTACACTGTATTTTCTTATATTCAATGTAATGTACGCCAGATTATATACATTTAACATTATGAATCAATATTTCATAGAATTTCTCAACAAAACCGCTGCCAACCTGAAAACAATATATGGAAATAAATTAGAAATCCAGCCAATCGGAGAGGAATACATGGTAGCACTGAGAAAAATAAAGTACGTTTTCTGTATATTCTATACTTATAAAAATGTCTATGGATAGCACTGAAAAGAGTATTGATTAAAACTGGTCTTTTAGAGATACATACTTTATATGATAATGAAAAAACGAACCTGGTTAGATTCTGTCTATTTACTGTTCGGAAACAATTTTAATTGGTTTACAAAAATAATTGTATGGTTTGGAAGTTTGCAGAGTTTATCGTATGGAAAGCAGTTAGATTATCTATTGGAAATACGAAACACTATGCAAGGTACAGATATGTGTAAATGGTAAAAAAAATTAAAAATTCCTCAAAAATATATGTCGTGGATACAAGGTTTAGATATGAACATATGTCTCTACCCCCTGAAATGTGTTCACTTGCATTGGAGACAGTTGCTAAATCTTTAAAACAGTAGAAGATAATATTTGTCAAATATCGATTTTTAACAGGATTTCCAAAGGAAAATATCGGTTATAAATTTGTTTATGTACGGCGGGGGCCGGCTGCCAAACAGTGTCCGTGCAAAAAAACGCTTTGACGAAATCTTTTAAAATTTAGATATGTTGTTTCCTGTGACTAAACGAAGGTCAAATTTGATTGTCTTGCAACTAATAAAATATCATTTGCTGGTGCTGCTGTATATGATGATCTACGCGTTGCTTAAACATCTGCAAAACAACAGCATCGAGTTGTTCTGACCAGAATGTCGAAAATTGCATTGTCAACCGAAAGACTCTGCACATTTACACACTTTGTCTTAAATAAATCTTAGTGTAACATTTTCATAAATATTTGTTAGCATATATTTACCCTGGAGAGCAGAAAACAGCCCTGACCACAAATGGGTCTTCAATGCAGCGAGAAAATCCCGCATTGTTGCATGACTTTTTTGTTCCTATCCTGAATCATTTACCTCGTCAGTGGTGTCTTATATTACATCTTTATCTTTTTGTCATTTCATAAATGTTTTTTTCAAGGCAAATCTTTGATAATTTCTGTTTAATTTATTCACAACTTTTTGACTTTAGTCTTGTGACAATGTAGAGGCTGACATAATATATGCCCCCCGCCTGAATCCCCACTTGGTAATATTGGAATTTTGTTTCATTCACCTATACCACACAACTTATTTCATTCAATTACAGAACTACTGATGTAAATTAATTGTTAACATTTTTGTTGCAGTCGATGACAAATTATTGATTACATTAGATGTCACAGACACTACTTGTAAACAGACGATAGAGCTTGCCTACCTAGATCCTGAAGGTTAATATAAGTCTCCATTCATTTGACAGTACACAAATTTATCACATCTCATTTCCAACCTCTTTTGATTTTATTTTTCTTACCTTAAACGTAACGTACAATTATGCTTAAACTAACATATATAAATGTCAAAATCTTTGATTTTTATTATTTGTCCATGAACTTATAAAATAAGTTGCTCACTTTTGATTTAAACCTCGTAAAAAAGGAACAATACAGCATCGCCGTGTGCCACTGGTTCGTTGAATTTTTCCCCTTTTTTGACTGGCTACACTCCCTAGTTTATAATGACATGAAGCTAAAATCTACTGCTAGTATTTCATATACACAATACTGCTAGTATTGTGTATATGAAATCTGTCATATAAGAGAACAAAATAATTATATAAAATAATGTTATATCTTACATGCACTTTTGTATATCTTCTCAAAATTGATTGTGATAAATATTTTTTGTGTAGGATACAGCGAAAATTTTCATCTGAATTCCATCCATCGCTTGAACAGGGAAATGAATGCTAATATTGATATATCAAAGTTTAAAATTAGGAATGAATTGGTTGTGAATTCAAGGTCAAATAATTGTAGCTACGTGAATGTGTGGATAGAGGCAATCGAGAATTGTGATGTTCACATAGGTTTGTATAAAATAAAGATGACTTAAGTTTTTGTGCCTGTCTGTATAAATTTTGTTTTCGATCGTTTTTAGTACATGGCTTAAAAATATTTTTGACATGCTCTCATCCTTATTTATAAGCTTGGATATTTTGTCCAAATGATGTGTATTTAAGCAACTATAGGTCACTATATAGTCGTTAAAAAGAGCAAGACCCATACTGTAAAGTCAGCTATAAAAGACCCAAACATGATAAAATGTGAAAAAAAATAAAACGAACAAACGTACGGCCTGATTTATGACAAAACAATAACCGAAAATAAAAAATGTGACAGACAGCAACCAGCGACAACCATTGCATTGCTGAATCTATCAAATTATCACTCGGATTGGAACAAGATCTGCTCTAGTTAATTTGTCAAGATTCAGTAGATATATCAGAATGCGCAAAGGTTGCAAATTTCTGGCCGAATATAATGTTTACTGTTGGCAATTCAGTATCATCAACTGATCGCCATTATAATGTATTACAAAACTTAAAATTTTTGGAAAAAACTAAGGACCTTCTACCCCAGAATAGATTATCCTAGCTGTATTTGGCAAAATTTTTAGAATTTTGGGTCCTCAGTGCTCTTCAAATTCGTACTTTATTTGGCCTTTGTAGCTTTTTTGATCCGAGCGTCACTGATGAGTCTTTTTTTAAGACGAAACGCGCGTCTGGAGTGCAAAATTTAAATCCTGGTATCTATAATGTGTTTATTTATTATATACCATGAACTTTGCTAAATGTTTAGCTATGCATTTTATACAATCTATGCCTCAACCTATTATATGAATGCACTTTTTTTGTAGTAGGATATAACACAATTGCATAGCGTTAGTAAAATATTCTTATATTTCTAGTTAATAAGAACAACGTTATTTTGTAAAACCTGTTAGCATATGACAATATTGTACACACAGACGGCATATTAATCTGGTGTAAAAAGACATACGTTCACTACACAGAAAAACAAAACATTAAGCAATACGAACCCCACTAAAAACCGGTGGTGAGTTCATGTGCTCGGGAAGGGTCAGCAGTCCCGGCAAATTCATTCGCAAATATCTTTCTGCGTACTTTAATCCATATCCTTGTGAATACAGGACGCAGTCAGTACGGGATATTAATTGAAAAGAAATCGATTTGTATAAAAAAGACAGCTAGAATCTAGAGTCGTTTGCAATTTTTTTTGGAACCGATCTTCTTTGACGTTTTTGTATGTTGGAAATATATGTCCATTAATTTCTTTTCATTTGTAAATAATTTGATATTCAAAATTTTGAAGTAAAATGACACTCTCTAGCAAAACATTTTATAAAGGAAGCAACAACTATTTTGCTTCAAAGTCAAAGAGTAATGTTTCTGTTGAAAATGTTTTTCGACTTTGTAACAACTCTATTTTAAATGATTGAATAGTGTAAGAGTGCAAAAAGCTATAACTGTTAAGCACACCTCAAATCCATGTACTTGCCTAAGCTCAGGAACTATACAAGAGTAGACATGTACAGTGCCACCTTATTTTGAAAGTTTATTATTGTCAATCCTCTGAACAATAAAGAAACTAAATTTGATTTGTCGCCGCCAATTGTTCAGTCAAAAAAATTTTGAAAATAAGGAGAAAACCTCAATATACTCTGTAGTGACGTCGCGTACGCTGTTGGTGATAATACAGGTTTTGCTTTCCAGTTCGTCTTTATTGTATTTGTTGTAAGTTTCGGAATTGATAACAATATACATGTATACATCAAAATGTGCGTAATTAAAAGTAAAAATGTAATATGCCTTAAAATCAATACTTTTTTTCAATTTGTAACTCGAATGATCCCTAATAACACGGATTTTGGGCGTGTGGACAAGTAACACGCAACATATGACCAGCGTTGTTTTAATGCTTTTTCTCATCTTTGTTTAAAATATTTTTTAAAAAGAGGTATAATATATAATAATTCCTAGAAAGAGCAGTCTTTGGTGTTAATGATGAATGTTTTACTTATGACGTCCTCGTTACCTGGACGCGTCTAACCAGGACGTAAAGTGTGTTTTAACGACACAGTCAGCGAATACCTTTGTCTGGTCATAATGTCACACCATGTTTTTTTACTAGTTTTAACGTTACGTTCTGCTTAACTTGACATGTCGTGAATGTCTAACGTCGCAAATATTTCATGCAAGACCATGATTTTTCAGATTTTATTTTTGGAAACAATTTCTCAACAGATTTTTAACGAATCTAATTAAAATTAATAACTGTATCCGTTTACTTGTTCATAGTTGAGATTAACTTTCCTTTTATTTGCAGTTGGCAAATTCGATTAAATTATTTTTGTTGTTTTAAATTTTGAATTTGCTTTCAATAATTGATAATTAACCTTTAATACAGGTGATGAAATACACGCTTCAACTAATGAAAGTGTTATCCGGAAACTATGAAAAGCAGATAAAAGAAACGAAAGAAGTATGACGTTATCATGGTTATGTATACAATATGTATACAAATTAACGTTATACCAAAACTAACAACAAAACCGTACTCGACGTCATTAGTCTTGACATGATGTTTAGTAAAGTCGGCTTATAGATTTGATAGTTTTTTTTCTCAATTTGGCATTACAAAAAAAATGAATGGTTCTCCCTATTATCAGAAACTGTAATTGTAATCATTATCTAAGGTTGCTAATCCCACATGCAAAATTGGCTTTGGCATTTGCGTAAGACCCTTTTGATAGCCCATACTAATAAGCCCACACTTTTTATTTAACTTCACAAACTTTTATCCTCGAGCGTTCTCGCTGAATATTATTCAGAAACTCGAAATCGCGCAATGAAATTTCTAAAAGAGAGACGGAAGATAAAACAGGACTATTCAAACTCTAGGCTGGTCCTCTCCCTTGCAACATACTTATATCTGTCAGAGCCAAACAGATAAAGTACAGGGAACCAGTCTATTCAAACTCACAAGTCGATGACAAACTGACAATGCAATCGCAAAAAAACGAAAAATGACAGAAAGACAAACAACAGTATACAAAGCACAATATAGAAAACTAAACACTGAACAACACGGACCCCATTAAAACCCGGGGATATCTTAGGTGCTCAGGAACGTTTACGTTTTTGAAAGGAAATACGTTTGTATTTACTAACGGGTGCTACAAAGATGATATAGTTTTCATTTATTTAAGGAAACGTAACTTGAATTCGGCAGCAACGTGTAAGAAGGACCCAAACTTGTCCTCAGATTCTTTACACGAATACAATTTTACATGAAGAAAGTAAAAAGTAATAACAAGGCAATGCCTGTACAATAATTTAAATAGTGTACTTTTTATTTTTTATCTCTTAAATGTAAGGACAATGTAAGGACTGCATGCTTGTTTGCACTTGCACATCTATATCAATCCTTCAACGGGATTCGCGAGACAAAGAAAGGAATGATTTTCAAGAGGGTTCACATTAAAAGCATGTTCAACACATTGGAAGTATACAAATATTTAGTGAAGAATCTAGTAATACCTCTTCAATAACATTCTGATATCGATACAATGACTTTATTGGGTGAAAACAGAGAACATGTAGAATTTCACCAAATCTGGTTTATCTTCAGAGATTTTAATGAAATTAACTCAATTATAAAGTTTTATAAATATTTCATGAAGATTGAGAAAATCCTGGACCTTAACTATGATGACTCAACATAAATTCACAGTTTACAGTATGCATAGTTTGCTTAAAGCCCTGTATGCAGAGTGAATTCATAATGTATGCATATTTGTAATTTAAATTGTTTAAAAGTGCTTATATTTACTCTTCGCGGTCATAGAATCTCATAGATCCTTGATGAATATTGTTTTGGGGTGTTTCTGTCCCGTCGATAACCCCAAAATACCTCAATAAAGTATAAGTTTAAACTTTTAGATGTTCGGGGCATATATGTTGAAAATATGCTGCACAGCCCTATGTTTTGACCTTTGAATGAAATAGTAGTGCATATGAACTTTCCATTCTAGGATATAATTTTTTACGAAACTTCAAAGTAAACGTTGCACAATTTTAGCCTATGGGAAATTGCATTGTCTATATTAACAAGTGCAACCTACGCAGGGATTGCTCTATATGTATATGTTTTAACCCTCTTAAATATACCCAAACAACATATGAACTGTATGTTTGCAACAGCAAAATCGATATCGTTTTCTCAGCGGGATTCAAAATCATTAACATGATTAAGAAAGAAAAACAATGAGAAAATAATAAATAAAGAATAAAAAAGTTAGATTATTATATTACAAAAGGACAAAAGAATAGAAGGATAGTCAAAAACATTTGACATGCACGCGTTTTACGTCAAGAATGAAACACGTCTTTTTACAGTTTTTAACGAGCGGTATGACAAATATTTACATGCTTTAACTTTAGAGATCATTTTGGTTTTAAATTCGAAGGTTTGTAGGCCCTGTTTATATGCCGCGCTAAGGTCAACGTCATTTGAAGCTAAACGTAAACCAATGGTATTACATTCATCATATTCGTGTTTATATATTGATGAATATCAACAGTATTTTGTGGCAAACCTAAATGGCAAACTTCAGTGTTCTTAATTCCAATCATATAAGACTGAGCATATATTACATAATATAAAAATTTTAACAACAGAAAGGATCCAGGTTAATGGGGCGCAACGCCAGGAATGTTGCCGAGCGGAGCGAAGCGAACACATTTTGAACGTTTCAATGGCAAAAACAAAGAAGATATTTTCCAGATTTCTAGGAGAAGAGCACGTCCTATGTGCGATATTTTCTAAGGATTTTCTAAAATAAGAAGATAGTATGAAGCATTTTAGGCCATTATGATAATCTTTCAAATAGCATCCTGCAGAAGTGCATAAGACTATTAGTCTGTCAGATATTAATAGTTATTTTTCATCTCGTCTTAATACTAATATTTGTTTACAACTACAAAAACTGCCCAAAATAGCCTCATGCTGAGATCCTTTGATGATTATATATATATAGTCACTGCAATACTCAAAAAGATATCATTTTACCAATACAAAAATGTCATTCTGTGTCAAATATATCGATGTTATGTCTTTAACATCAGAAATTATATAGTGACATATATGTGATGTCTGCATTAAAGTGTCTAAACTATATCATCCAATTACATTTGTATCAATAATTTTAATTTCTTTTTTAAAGGTCGATAAATTGTTCTATTTTAGCACTTATCATACCTCTCTTATTTAAATATATCTATTGAGTTCATATTATTAATATTATAGGACAATTAGATTTAACCAGGGAATTTCAAAAGGGAGAACGATTGTACCTCCACGAAGAGAACGGAATAAGCTGCAAATATACTATTGAACAATTAGAATATCTCTTGAATAAAGCGTCACTGGGAATGGAGAAATACTGGAGGAACGAACATGTGGCAGTGATATTAGTGAATCGGAAATAAAATACGAATAAATGTATATTGGTTTGCATCAGTTATCGTTTGTTTTTTTACTCTTTGTTCGCAATTGTAATTAGTCAACATAATATTAGTATAAGATGTGATTACATTAACCTTTTGGTCAATTATACGACGTTAGTCATTAATAAAAGTTAAAATCCCAATCATTTAATCGTTTTGACAGCCTTTACTTCTTTCTGTTAGTTTATATAGTCGTTTTTTTCTGCTTTAAAACTTGGTCTAGGTCGAATTCTATTTTTCTATGTTGTTTCTTATTTTTAGTTTATTACCATCACTTGTTTTTGAATAGTTCTATCTTTTTAAAACAAACTTTGATATTTTTATCCTGGAATATTTTGGACAGTTCTGCCCTAGAACATTTTTGGATATAAATATAAAACACCAGACAAGACAGACAACACCTTGACCAAAACAAACTAAAAACGACAAACAATCTACAAACACTACATAAACAAAACTAAAACTAGAGCAACACGATCCTAAATAAAAACTGGGGGTGACACCTGTACCCTGGATTGGTAAACATATCTTGTTCCTCATGTGACCCCTGTCGTTTTGATACACGATAAGTACAAAAAGAAGTGTATTTCCTCGTTGCTTAAACATAGTCAAATTATAATTAAAACATTTTTGATTAAACATTAAGACCAGAACTAAAACATATATCCGAGACTGTAATTATTTTTACTATCTAACCCTCTTTATCTTAAATATGACTTATGTGGAAAATCCGGCTAATATGTTTTAGAATTAATGTCTTGAATGAGATAATTTAGCACTAATGGTCGTAAATCTATATAAGAATAAATGTTTTAAAAGTAAATAATTACATGTATGTTTCGTTATAATACGTTATTTGGCTAACAGCAATCTCGCGTCATTCTGAAATTAACCTTCACTTCAAAATGAAATGTAACATTCATGATGACACGACCTTCCACAATAAAGTGCACAGGTAAATTAAAGAAAAAGTTGATAGAAATCGTGTTTTCATGATCCTAGCAAAAAAATGTAATTATCAGTATTGAATTCTTCTTTTAGTAATTGTATAGGGTTGGAAAAGCTTTGACCGTGCGCACATTTTTAGAATGAAGCTGACGCGCTTCATACAAAATGTACTTCGGTCAACGCTTTTACGCCCCAATAAAGTTACAAAAAGAAGCATGCAATTCTTAAATAAAAAAAAGAAAAGAAAAGCAAAGGGTTAACCGAAGCGAATACTTGAACTATGAACTTGGTATAATTAAGGCACAAAACGAAAAGGAAAAAAATACAGATTAAGTGTCAATCTGCCTAAGAACCAGGCAGTGATGAAAACATGACGAACAAAAACCCACTCAAGTTGACATTAATTTATGTTCAAAATGTGTAATAGTGCACGAATATAACATTCGTTTCCTTCTCCTGTTCTGGTAATTCAAGATATAATTTGGTTGAAATGCACTAGAAATAAACAATTAAGGGTAGCTAACTCCGTAATTTGCTATCATTCTAACCAAAAGTTTTCTAGAGATTTCTCGAATTACCAGACACGCACAAATGAAAGACCTACCATTTCTACTTCAGGATAAGGGTAATTTCAAAATAGGATTGTTAGGTCGGTGGGTTTTTTCCGGCCTTGTTTTGATTTTTTTCAAAATTGCCTGATTCTTACAAAGACTGGCACTTAATAGCAGGAAATAGAAATAAAGATTCCTAACTGTAATACTATAAATTTTCAAAAAGCCCTTTGTATTTTACTCTTATTTTTATTTTGCTAGAACTTGCAATTGATCTAACGAAATCTATTATTGACTGATATCTTGATCTCCTCATTTGGTTTCAGTTGTACAAAACATTCATTAGATTTATCAAGAAAACTACATTTATTATTACAATGCACATGTAGTTTTTTTTAAAATTGTTTAGAATACGAACCTGATATAATATGGAAGTGATTATTCCTCATAAACGTACAATATCTAAATACAGATATTTTAAGAATTCAAAACATTTTGCATCATACTTCCTGTCTGCGAATTGAAGACAAAAAGTGTATTTATATTTATTCTTCAAATATCAAGATTAAATAATTGACTAAGCTACAAAATTGTCGATATTTATAGAACTAAGATGATATGGTATGATTGCCATTGAGACAACCATCCACCAGATAAGCATCTAGGTCGCATCAAAATTTATACCCAATACTTAACTACAAAAGGCTCCGACATGACAAACTGTTAAACTATTCAAACGAGAAAAATATATATGACGAACAGTCCCAAACGACTACCGTTACCACCAAATTACAGGTTCTTGACTAGGAACAGGGAACATATAGAATGTGTTAGGTCATACATGTTTGCGATCGTTCAACCCTTTCCACACCCCTTCACCTTACTCTCGGGACTGTTGTGAAACAGTACAATGTACAATCAGTTAGGAAGGGCTTGACTCATCAGATCGGAACGAGTCTGTTGTGTACATTTTATAACAAGACAAGTATGGAAACATTAAACTTTAAAATATTTTTCTTTTATCTTTTTCGATACTGAAAAAAGTGTCATGCAAATTGATTAATGTTTACCAATAAATGTTTATGAACAAAGAAAAGTGGAAGTTTTTACTCCGGGGGCTTTAAAAGACACCGGCAAATAAAACAAATGGTATTTGCTAACCCTTCCTGAGCACCTGGGATCACCCTGTGTTTTTGATTTGGTTCGTGTTGCTTAGTATTTAATTTTATTTTGTTGTGTATAGTAAATTGTTTTTGTCCTATGGTCGATTTTCGTTTTTTGCCATGACGTTGTCAGTTTATCATGAATATCCCTTTGGTATCTTCCGCCTCTCTTTTAGAACTCCTTTTCATTTAACAACTTTGGACTAGTTAAGATATGAATAAATGAAGTTGTGGGGTAAAAGTCATGGAGAACGAAACCCAAAACTAGACAAATAACATACAATCAACCAACATTCGTACAGTATGTAAATACTCCTTATCGTTTATCAAAATAAATTGAACAAATTTTACAAGACCGATGGAGATACGAATGAAAGGAGAACCAAAAAACAAATAGAGATATGCAAACAGTCATCAGCAATACACAAGTCGAACTCTGACACATCTGGACCAAATTTTACCAAACTTGGCCACAATCATCATCGATGACCCCGCCTTCCAACCAGGATGGCTGACATGGCTAAAAATAAAACATAAGGGTAAAATGCAAGTTTTGTTTATTATTTTGAAAACTTTTTTTCAATAAAGAAAATCTGATTGGGGCAGGAACGTTCAGAATGTCTATTTACGTCAAAATTGTCGAGGGACTTCTTATAGGAGTTATTGCTCTTAAATGTCAAATTGTTTCTTTTTTGCTTAATATCTTAAAAACAATAATAGAGTAACTTTAAATACAAAAATGATCAGGAAGATAAGATCTACAAATAAGTTCCATTGTCGAAATCGTCTATTGTCTTTTTATTAGAGGTATTGCCCTTTGAAGACGATTTTTACTCTTTTTTTGCGTGTTTGTCTTATATCTTAAAAAATATAACCGATAGATAGAAACTTTTATTAACAAAAATGATTAGCAAGGCGATATCTATAAAAAGGTTCAACTTTGCCATTATAGTTAGTAGACTGTCATTCTTTATAGGAGTGATTGCCCTTAAATGAGGATTTGTTTAACCTTTTTTTGTGTTTGAGCAAAAACCAAGCAAGATAATGAGAAACTAAAAAAAAAAAACAGACAAAACGAACAGCAATACAATAAAAAAAAAGAAGAAAGTTTTGTTATGAACTCTATTCTTGTCTACATTGTTGGAGAGTGTCCTTTGTTGAATATGCACATAGACCGAGGTGAACGACAGTCTCTTTAGAACCTCTTGTTTCTTTATCTCTCTTCCGAAATAACTTTGGTTCATAAACATACAAATTGTTGTAATTTTTCGGATCATGCAAAATGTCGAATCATCGAATGAAAATGTCAGTTACAATGTGTAATATATTATGCTAGTTGTCTTTGAACTATTTTGTCATGCAAATGAAAAAAAGAAGGAAAATCGACGTATTGACAAACATTTTGCGTAACAGCATGCAACTGCTATCAAGTACACAGACTATTCATCTCCACGTACATAATTTCAATGAGTTCAACAATTATCTGGGGCTTTTATATATTGGTAAAAGCAAACAGAGTTACCACCTAGGACAAATACATTTTGCATATATTGGGCCCAGTTATCACTTATCTACAGTTAAGAAAAAAATGTTCTTATAATAATACATCTATAGTTCGAGAAGTTGTGAGAAAACGAACCAAACACATTGTTTTATATGATGTTGCTGCTGAAAAACCATAAAAACTACATGTAGTTAGAAGTGCTGTGGGAACAAACACATGTACATACTACATTCACAAAATTGTTGGCTATTTTTTGAAAGCCTGCCACGATAGCAAGACAGGCGTGTCATGAAATGGCCATACATTAATGTAGATTTACGGTTATTTATTCGATATAATACGTTTGATTGTAAAATACAGGTGTTGAATAGAAAATAACGAAAATTATCGACCTAGTATCAATGTACTTAAGTGCAAGTAGAGTACCTTGGGTTATATAAATGTATATAGGTAAAAAAAATCAGACTAAAGTGCCTGTGTTCAACTTAAAGAAACAAATTGTTGGTTAATAGTTGGAAACTTAAATAAATTGTACCTATGATTTTACATATTACGACTTTACTGAGTGGCACAAATTCCGGTTTACAGAAAAATGTTGAATGTTGTACGTCAATATGCATATACATTGAGGTTAAAATACAAAGCAACTTAAAGCAGTTTCTTTCTTTTGAAAACACAAAAAATCTAATGTGAAAGATAATGAACCAAACTATGAGTTTAATTTTGGAGTTACACGTTCTAAGATCAATAATAAGCACTTTTGTTAGTCTTCACATTGCATTACATGTATCTGCAGGCATAACGCCGTACAGAAAA